CCCCAAAACCCCAAAACCCCAAAACCCCAAAACCCCTTTCATAAAATTCCAAATTGACAGAACTCTTTCTCGCTAAATTCAGAAATTTTAAAAGACATGCCCCTATCAACTAGTGGGCTGGGCACCCTGGATGCTCGTCCATGACTACCTCCACTCTATTTTCAGCCAAGAACGAGGAGATTACAGGTGCATGAATTGGAACAAATGGAACATCTAAACTACTAATCAAAATTTTAAGTAAATTCTATGTAACTTTGAAGCAATAAATTATCTTATATGACCTCTGTGAGGTAGAAAGGCTCCTACTCCACACAGATAAAGAAGTCAGCCTTGCTCTTCCCCTTTGTATGATTCTTGGCTCTTCTCTTAAGAGTTCTCCCTTTCTTCTTGGGCTGGAACACATTCATAATTCGTTCAGTCTTATGCTGGTTTTGTTCATCAAAAATTCTATCACACAGAGATTTTACAGTTTCTTTACCGATGTACTTGAGAATTTTGGTAGACTCTTTGGCCTCGGTGGACTTGGAAACTACCAGAGCCTTGCAAATTGTCTCAAGGAAGAGCCCAAAGCTGTGCGAGTCTGGTAAATCTCCTTCTAGATTGAACATTTCTGGTTGCAAATTCTGGATGCAGATGGTTATTGCCTTCCATACTTGGGTCTTCACCAAGCAATTTCGGTAATCAGCATGAGCAAGGAGAGCATCAATACATTGAGGGTAAGCCATGCTTGCTGCACAGAATTGTAGTGCTATGAGTGATTCTGCACTTAGAAATTTGCTTTCAAATCCAACTTTAGCGACCAGAATTGGTATCAAGTTTCAGGTGAACTCTATCATCCTCTCAGTCCTATTGCTCATGTAAAGCTCTTGTCACAGCACAAGTGTGTTCTTGCCCAGAGAAGTCCTTGGAGAATTAATACAGTTCTCCACAAATGGGAAGATGTCCATGGAATGCTCCTCAATCAAGGAAGGTTCATACTTATTAATGCGTCTTAACAAATCTGTTGAAAAGAACTGTTCCTTCCAATCGTCAGAGGAAGAGTACCTATGTGCTTCTCAGAACAGATCTTCCCTCTCCTGCCCTTCAAATGGGAGGAGGTCTACATAGTCAATATAGATGACTGCATTCTTGCTCTGGTCGTCACCCACGAAGTTTCCGTCTTGATTACATTCGTCCATTTCCAAAATTTTAGTTAAAAATTGCTGATTTAATTATTCAAGTGCCTAATATGACTAAGGGGTTTTGGGGTTTTGGGGTTTTGGGGTTTTGGGG